CTTTTATGTGCATGACAAACATTTTCTACCCCATCACGCTTGCCTGCATTTTTTTCTTCGGAAATTTTTTTTACATGAAAATCTCTTAAACACCCTTCTAAGACCCTAATGTTTACTTTCTATTCATAGCCGAGGCTCATCCACTCCACGCCATCGCATTGTGTGAGTAAATGTCGCCGACTGCGAAGAGCTGTCAGAAAAAGTCTTTTCTAAGAATAAAATTTCTGACGACAAAGGGCGATTGTCAGTACTCAAACGAAAAGGGCAATGACGGAGTTTTCATATTGTATGTCACTCGTAGACATTATTAAATTGGAAATATGAGACAGATGTCAACAATAAGTTTTGCGGGAAAAAGTAGGGCTTAGTTTTTCCTTGGGAAAGATGAGAGTTTACAATTTTTTCATGGGTTACAGAATAAACGAAAGTTGTTTGATCAAGCAATAAGCAAACAGTCTGAGATCTGTGGTGTGAACCGGTTTTATTACTTGGAATGAGTATTTATTTCGTAGCTTTTTCAACTTATGCCCCAAAAATTACTTTTCACCCCATTTGAAAACTAGTTGTAAAATTTTCACCAAACTATGCTCCATGCGGCAGCATGCGATCACGTACGGTTGAGAACTTCGGCATCGAGCTCTTGCCCAGTACCGTACTTTTCCCGAGCTACCAATAAGCGAATACGGTATTAGGCGAGAATTTAGAGCTGATTATTGGTAAACATTTCAATTTTTGAGTGTTTCAAACAAGAATGCTGTCATATACAAGATCTTTTAGTCAATGTCTAGGCAAATCTAAATTTTGGATTTCTCCTTCATAGTAAATTGTAGGAGATATTTATTAAGTTATTGTTCCATGAAACATCTCATATGATTTGCTTACAACCGAGAAATTTTTATCAACTCTTGCCCAGTACCGCACATTTTCCTAACAGAGCGACTCGATTACGGTATTGGGCAAGAATTTGGAACTGATTATCTCTGCCATGAGGGAATAAGTGTAAGCATAGAAACATGAGATAGTGTGTATTTGGACGATTCTTCTTTTGCCGCCACCAACTTTGAATATCGTTTACTGAAAATTACTGCAATTTTGAGCTTCTCAAAGTCTCCCCAACATCTTTGAACATCATAAAAAATAAAAATTCAGATTTCGAAATATTGCCACTACACCAACAATTTCACCAATTTTTCTCGCCTTCTTTTTATTCCTTTTGTCCTTTCCTTTTTTTCTCCATTCACTTCCGTCACTTACAAACGAATATTAGTCGTGCAAACAATGCGTGTAATGAATGATAATAACTCGTCCCATTTCTCACACAAAATTAGGGCATGTGCACTTTTGCCGCTTTTTTCGAATGGGAAATTCTACCAACGAATACTTGGAGGATTCGTATAGATGTAATGGTATGTAATAGATGCAAAGTATGTGTGTCATAGGCAATAGATTGTTAGCTCAGAAGTGCCCATGGGAAAATTTGCAAATGTACACATCGATCTTGGTAGATTTGTGGGAAATTCCGGCGGCCGAAAGTTTTTGATGCTGTTTCAGAGCAACTACTATTCTATAAGTTTACTGAACAAATTATTTGTTGATAAAGTTTTTGAAAATCTTAGAAAGTTAGTGGCTACATTTCTGCCAATATTTAATCCTTCAAAACAACATAGGTATAGTCAGTTCATCGCACGCAAAGATTAAGCGTCACAACGGACCCTGTCGGCGTCTCGCGCATCGACCGCTCTTTCATTCCTTTTGCCGTCTGCTGTCTCTCCCATGCACGAACTATCTCAATGGGGCGCAACGAGTCCAGTCCGTGCGTGCGATGAATCGCCTGTAACTCTCAACTGAACAGAATACAAAATTTTTCATACTTATGAAAATTGATCATGATATTCTACTTTTTACCAGTCTCAGAACTTGTGCAAAAAAGTAAGAAAGCTTCGAACAAGTAATCCAATGAATTTTATTTTAAAAAAAATTTTCTCCAACAAATGCCGGAAAAACTGCTGGAAAATTTGGCGTCAAATCTGACATTTCTCAAAAACCACCAACTTTGAAAGGCAGAAAATTTGTGGTCATACGTTTTTACTACTTTCACAGGTAACTCTATAGCTCATTCTATAAAATTGCGAGTAGAGCGACGAGCGTAGCCAGTTTGAACCGCGTTGCCAACTGGTCCTTTTGCAATGTTGTTGCATGTCGTTCTAAGACCAGTAGTCCGCGGAAGTGGACCAAACTGGTGTTCGTTTACCTATAAAACAAGTAATGAACAGGGTTCGGCACAGGTGGCTTACGAGGCAAGCTGGATATCGTTTTGGAGTAAAAAGCAAGGGACCCCCCCCCCATAAAAAACACACACACAATCGCCTTCTTTTATGTTACCTTCTTCTATAGAGGACGCAAATTGTCATTCCTGCCTTATTGATCCCATTCCTGCAAAAATCAAAAATTGGGATGTCAGACAGGCCAGATTTATTCTTCTCCATTTCTAGCCCCGGAAAAAATATACAGCAAGTGTGAATACAGTGCTGGCCAAAACTATAGATCCACTATAAAAAACTGCCGTAGTTCATCTGCTTCTCAACGAATTGATCTGAGATTTGGTACAGTTGTGTGTTCAACAGGCATTCATCAGTGACCGGAGCGGATTCCGCTTTCGTTAGATTATTCAGGAAAAAAATTAAAAATTTCGAAAAAAGCAGGCTCGAAGGCTGGCCAAAACTATAGATTTACCTAAATTTTTTGTCTGCTAACGTGACTCTTAGCTTCCAAAATCTTTTGTGCATAAACCTAGTCGAAAGTCAAAGCAGTGGGTTTAGTTTAGCTGCGTCATACCTTTATAAGAAACTCTTATCTGCTTTTTTCCACTCAAAAACTGCTCTCATGCGTATTTTGTTCCCGAATATGTGTTTTTGTAGAGGATCCCGCACTTTTTTGACTGGTTTGAAAGTGATAGGGCTCCATCTATCTTATAGATGCTTAGCAGCGTGAGCAGTAGAAAAAAATTCGGGTTTTCGTATCCAAAGCGCACCTGACACAGACATAACCGTAGGCCTGCGCTCGAATTTTTGCCTTCATGCTCTTTCTGCAACGTTGTCATGAGCGTGAACTGGAGTAGTTACATTGTTGGTATGTATGAGAGTCCGTGTGCAGTGGTTGCAGGTTTCTGCAGATCCTAGTATGCAAGCTAATTGAGGACTTCCTCCTGCAAAAAGTGATTTGCAACAAGCCTTGAAGTTATTTCTGCTTCTGACCATAATGCTCATGTGAATCACAAGACAACACATATTGCAGGGTGTATTCAATAGTTAGCAGCTAAAAAGTGGCAAAATTCAAAGAAGGTACCAGTTGGTAAGTACTTTGAGATTGCCGAACACACCGCAAGACTTATGCTTTGAAAAAGAATTAAAGTGCGACTTCGCAAGCAATTGTAACTATAGTTTACAAACTTCTTTTTAGGTGAATAATGCTAAATAATGCTTCTACATTATTTTGAGCTTATAAAAATAGCGGATACCAATTTTGAAGGCAAAAATTCGAGCGCAGGCCTACGGTTATGTCTGTGTCAGGTGCGCTAACTTCCTTGGCTATCAGATACATATTGAACCTGCGGAAATCCTTGTTAAGGAAGAAGAAAGAACTCAAAAACTTCACAGCGTTTTTCTTTAAACCTGTCTTTTTTGACATGGCAATGCTCCTTCATGAGAATTGATAGGCATCTTGTCTAACAATGGATAGATAAAGAATTTTCCGTAGATTATTTTGCACCATAAAAGGGCCCATAGGTGCTGTTTTGCCGAGAGATTTTTTTGACCGAACAAAAGAGAAGCCACTTTTTGACCTCGCTTCAGCGCATGTGTGCATGTCTATCTACGAATTATGGAAATTGTGGTGGTTCAGTGGGATTCTTTTACCCTTTTCGTGCCCCAGTTAACACTAGAGGGATTAGATGAATTTATTCAGCAACAAAATTAAGCCGGTATCTCCGGCACACGACAATGTGATGAGTGGCGTAATATCGGCCCAGAGGAGGCTGGCCGATGAGCACAAAGAGTCAGCCATGTGGCAGGCTCTTTGTGCCAGAAATGCGTAACATAATGAAATGTAAACAATTCAGGACAAAGAGTTGAGTTTGGGTCGTGTCTTTATCACGACACTCCCCGCCGCGCAAAAGACAACTTTCAGAGGAGCAAGACTACAAAAATGTAAAGAAGCAAAACAAACAAACAACAAAAAAAACTTTTTCATGCGAAAAACAAATGATCATGAGAACAATGCGAAAATGAGGGAAGAGAAAAAAACTAGAGAAAAAAAACTAAGTATGGGAGCGACAAATTAACGAAATGTTGGAAAAAGTTACAAAAACATATAGTAGAGGAGGAAATGGACAAAAGAAAACTTGTCGAGCGGCCGAAGGCTGGATGCGGTGTTGAGGCGAGGGTGGAGGATACGTAGTTGCGGTGGAGTTGGGCTTGACGAACTGGGTGAATCTTGAGACAAGGATGGAAGATACGTAGTTGCGGTGGATTTTTGGGCTTGACGAACTGGAGAGGATCTAGATCAAATATTTTATTATCTTAATATAGCAAATCAACCCCTGCTGGGATATGGGGATAGTGAGTGGTACTTGATGCCATATTTGAGCTGATGCGTCAGAGCAGACGCATAGCAGACGCATATCGTCTTCCACGGATTTGATTGACTGATACATCATTTTTAAAATGATATGCTTAACGCGCGTCTGTTCTTGCGCAAGAAGATGTCACCCTGGCTGCATAAAAGGGTGATTAAGCCGCTTCTTCAGCCATTTGCATATTTCTTTCTTACTTTTTTGATTATCTTTTTGGTCTTGTTTGGTTTCTTTTTATGTTGTTATTTGGGAGTTAACGAAAAATGCCTGCAGTAAACGCGGTTGAGCCCACCCTACGGATCCATTTGAGTCGGTTATTTTGTAAATTGATTCTTCTTTTTTGTAATTACAGGACGATACTGAGAGAGGAATGGATTCTCTTCGGAGGCAATTGGAAGAGGCCCAAAGGGAAGCTGGCCAGGTCGCTCCTCTGCGAAGGCAGTTGGAACAAGCCAAAAGGGAAGCTAATGAGGCCGCTTCTCTCCGAAAGCAGTTGGAAATGGCCGAAAAGGTAAGAATTTCTGTTCCATCCAATTGAATAATTTGATAAGTATTTTCATTTTAGAAGATCGATGATTTGAAAGCGAAGATGGCCAAGGAGACCAGGGCCGCCAACAATTACTGGTCTCACTTGAAGAGACAGCGAAGGCATATCGAACTGCTAACGACGATGGCGAATCAATGGATGGTTGACGTCGACGAGGGCCTTAGCAATCCCAATTTGTGATCATTGTTTTTCTGGGATTATATGAATTTATTCAGCAACAAAATTAAGCCGGTATTCCCAGCACACGACAATGTGATAAGTGGCGTAATATCGGCCCAGAGGAGCTGGCCGATGAGCACAAAGAGTCAGCCATGTGGCAGGCTCTTTGTGCCAGAAATGCGTAACATAATGAAATGTAAACAATTGAGGGCAAAGAGTTAAGTTTGGGTCGTGTCTTTATCACGACAAAAATTTACAATTGACGTGAGCGCCGGAAGGAAACTGGTGGATGGTTTGTGCTAGCCCTTGCTTTACCCTAGCACTTTCAACTTTGAAGTCGTCGATTACTTCTATTCGCAGAAAGTTATTGCTTGTAAAACATCTGTACGGAAAATTAATGTTTGACAATAAATTTCACTAGCAAGACGTTTTCTTCATGAAAATAAACTTATGCGCATGCTAGCCTGTTACACCCTCATTCCGCAACCAATTGAATCACTTGACCTGAAGGGCGCATTGTGGAGATTTCCTCGCAAGAACATATTTCTGGGGTGAGAACGTACCTCCGCCACTTGGAGATGATTTTATGCCTGAAATCTCCTTACACTAAGAAATTTATTGAAATTTGATATGCTTTAGAAAGCGCAAGAAAAGCACTTTGTAATGATATTAAAAATACCGCATTAGAAATTGTCCTAGAATAGCTGCTTCAAAAATGATGCAAAAAAAATCGGACAGAACTTATGCTTAATACATTAGAAACCTCGATATTCTTTAGAACATAGAAATTTTGTGATGATGTAACGTAATCCACTGACAGTGAGATGTGTGACTAGCAAACTTGATGCCAGTCATGCTTTGGCAGTCTGTGAAAACTCACAAACAATCTCTAATGAACGTTTCTTCGTCAAGCTGCAAAGATCCTCAGCACTTGCCGGTGCTTGCTCATGCTATCTTATAATTTTTCTGATACTGCTGCGACTACAGGGGGAGCCTTAGGAAGGCTTTGCTTCCTAAGGCTCCCTCTGTAGTCGCAGCAGTATCAGAAAAACGCTCTGCACTCGTATTCATGTATTTGGTTGTGTATGTTTGTCCATGTTTGTCTATATTCCCTTATTCCGCAATTCATCAAGTCAAACAATGCTTGAAGAAAATGAAAAGCTGTTTCTGATCAAAATCGTTTGTTACTTATCCCTTGGAGTGAAAAACAAAGGGAAGGGAACAAGCAGTAATTATGGAAATCAGTGCTAGTTTAAACCATAGAGATTAGAACTCTGTCGACTCTGCACATTCAAATTTAAGGAGAACGTAATCTTCTTACCGTTCTAGCATCCTCGCTCAAGAAATAAGAAATACAAACAAACAAAAGGACTCGAGCGCTTCCTGCGAATATGCCAACTGTTGAAACTAGCGGATTCGTGAATGTCAGCTATGCCGTGCAACCTTCGAAAAATGTGGTTGCTATCTTCCTTTTGAGGTAAAGTACAGCTTTGAACGAGAGAGATCACTTGTACAAAAAAGAGAGAGCCCATTTTTTGCAACCATTTCCACACATACTATTTTCGACCGTCATTCTGGGCCCGAGGGAATACTCGAATAAAAGACAGAATAAAGGTAGTGCAAGTTTCATCACACAAAAGACATTAATTCATGTCATTCATCCGAACTAAGACTTTCCCAAAGCGCGTCAAGCATGCTGGCGCTTCTAGTTTTGCGCGATCCATGTGTGTCAGAGATTACAATAAAGTACACACACTGGAGAGCACACTGGTGACGTCATGGGTTGGCGAACCCAGCAGGGCACTCGTAAATACCGATCTTACCCAGTGGTTCGTTGATGAATACGGCCGCAGGTCTCCCAAATTTCGTCCTCGCAGCGATTTCTTCGCTTCCTCCGAGTACCTCGACATCATGGAACATGTACACTAAGCCGACCTTCACGAAGTTTCTGGAGAAACAGTTTGCGTCCAACTTGCCGGTTTTATCTGTGCTAACCCCAGCAATGGATCTGCTTGAGAAGACGAAATGGGGGACTGCCTGGGAAGGGCAATTACCCTCTGAAATGAGCTATTCATGGTAGCCGACGCGAGGTATTTGACTTTTTTGAAAAGCAGAGCAAGTCGGACGCGGCTGGTAATTTATATATTTGCTGCATTCATCAGGGAAAAAAGAATAAGGAAGAGAAGAGGCCAGTAGTGTTTTGGGCAACGGATGGAGTGACACTGCACTCAACTATGGGCGTTATGTTTTTTCTGAATTGCTGTAATTCCATGGTCCGTGGTCCGTGAATCCGCGAAGCCTTGAAGCCGTGACTCCGTGAATTTTTCTTAACTTATTTTTCTTTTTCTTTTTCTTTTCTCTATGATTAGACAATGGACTTGTTCGCAATCGTTAGCTCGAAATGAAAAACTGCAGTATAAAACCCAGAAAAATAAAGCTGCTGGCCCACTGCAGATAACTTCTGCCGGGAAGTGTCGACCAATCGTAATGCTTCGACCTCTCAGGAAATATGCCAAAACCCAGTGCTTCTGTCCGCGCGCGTGACCCTCTGGCGATAAAGCAACGGAGCTGCCTTCTTATCATACCCTCGATACATAGAGCCACATACTCTGGTAACCTTCACTTTGAGGGCTATGAGGGGACACAACCTTCACCTGGGAAAAAAACAGAAGTTATCCGGGGCGAAGCCCCGGATGTTATGATCCTGACTTCGGAAGAATGTGAATGAACCAAATATAGGAAAGAATGTTTGAAGAATGTCTCAGCGAAACCGAGAAATTGCTTTTTTAAAGCCTTTTTTGCTGAAAAGAGAATTTCTGTGAAAATTTTCTCAGAATTCAGGACAACGTTCCTCATTTAGCCTCCCACTTGACCAAAAATGAGTTTCAAAAGTTTGGAAAGCTGTTGGAGTTGAATTAAAATGAGAAACTGCGCTTAATTGTGCACAGAGAGTCGCGCACGAAAATGCTGGTCTATCTCGTTAGTAAGTGACTTTTAAAGCTTGGGACGTTGTCAGCTCTCCTCGTCGTGTCATGACGGTCAGAATGATATATAATGTTACAGGGTTTCATTGAGACCCCGCGGAGATCTACGACCAGAGCCAAATGCCCCGTCGGCTCTGGTCTGTCTCCGCTGCTCGTCTGCGTCTCCGCGCGCTGCGCGCTACCTCGCTACGCCAAACGCGGGGCGCGGGGCATTTGGCTCTGGTACCCTTTTCTTCGCTGTTTCGCACCCAATTTTAGCAAGCTATGTAATTTTGAAGCTCTTGATCTATATTTTTACGCTGACAACGTCCCAAAATCAAATTCCTTGATTTGGACGAGAAATCCGGCAAAAACCTTGTTTTCGAAAATCTCTTGTTTTTCTTCTAGTTTACCTCTTTTTACCCGGTTTTTTCGTGCATTCTATAGATCTTGCTTCTGTTCATAATGCAGACAACCACCCAGCCTTTACCTCTTCGATTATTGTGGATTTTTTTGCGAAAAATTGTAGAAAGTGCATTTTTCTTTACCTTGTTCTGTTTCAATGCCTTCGCATCAATTTTTTTCCAGCTTGGGCGATTGTTGCTCAGAACAATAAGCGCAACAATCCAGACAACGTCCCAGGAAACAGGAACGTCAATGCGGGGGTAAAAATTCAAAGGACGCATCACAAATCAAAACCCCGTGTTGCGAATTGCTGGTCCTGAAGCGAAAACTTGCACTTTGAAAAGCCGCCAAATGAAAGATTTCAAGCCTCATTGCAGCGTTTTTATCCTATTTTCAGCAGTTTCTTTTGCTTTTTGTATCTGTTTTGTGTCATTTTCTTTTCTCTGATCTTATGACGTCAGATGTTCAAACAACCTTCACTTTTGACGCCCTGTCTCTAGACTATCGAAGGTATGCTTCTTATGTTGTAAGCATATGACCCCACCAGTACTGTAGGAGACTTGAAGCTCAGCAAGCTTTGAAGGAAGCTAGAGGAGAAGCTTGGAGACGACCGATTGGTATGGACACTAATGTGTAATGACCAAGACTAGCGTTCGAAGGCGAATCGACTAAAATTACGAGCGGAGGGCGGAGCTAGAAGAAGGGCCGATTTGGGGGGGGGGACTGTAAATTGATCCTATATTTTGCTATTGTGAATATTTTTCAAAATTATCTGGATAATCATATATAGGTATGTGAACGTCGTTGCCCAATTTTGAGTGTGCGCATAAGATTACGAATGTTTTGGCATGGATGTGAAGTTTCGGCAGGTTGCAAGGATATACATGTACATGGTATACATGTTATACAGGATATACAAACTTCCCGTTTATCAATCGTATCAAGCTACGCTGATGGATCAATTTCGATTTGGAGTTTAAAGATGTAAGTTTGCTTTTATTCTATATTGCTATAAAATTTTAAGAAACATTATGTTCGTGTTAGGTGTTTGATGCTTATTTCGACCAATATTCCACGAGAAAATCGAAGCTACTGAAAAAAGTTGATGAGTTGCGAACAAATCTAAGGAATTACATGCTTGAGAACTATGAGGTGGAAATACTACCTCGTATCACATCAAAGGCTCTATATTGAAGAGTTGTGATACTGTTAGAGATTTGGGTGTCTTGATTGATACGAATCTTAACTTCACTGAGCATATCAATACGTTAGTCAAAAAAGCTTATTCTTCACTTTTTCTGCTTTTCCGCAATACTAATGCTAGTTCTCCGAGGAAACTTATACCGCTTTATAAAGCATTAGTTCTTCCTCATTTAGAATACTGTTCTCAGGTCTGGTCCCCCTTTCGTAAAAAGGATATTCGCAGAATTAAAAAGGTTCAACAGCTTCTTACACGGCTGTTGTATAACGTTTATCGCCCGGAACCACCCCTCCCGATTACCAGACCCGGTTTGAGAGGTTTCATATGAAGTCCTAAACAAACCGTCGTGCTTCCTTGGATCTTGTATTCTGTTTTCAAGTTCTGAGAAGAGAGAACAAGCTAAAGCCAGTAAATACTGGATTTTTGTTCCTACAAGCGAAAGGTCAGGCTCT